TATTTTTACTCAAATTCTATACATTGATAGGAAGTGAGTCATCATTTGATGTTATATTGTTTTGACGCTAATTTGATTAAATGTCTGGGCGGATGTTAGAAGAAAAAAACAGAGTGCAAAATATGGCAGCTTCTGAAGTAAATCTGAACATGATCAGAAATGATGGAGCCTTTAAGACCAGGTCTGTGAGGATTTGGGTTTTTCTCTGTTGTTAATTTCTGTGGCGTTTTCAGTTAATTTACTGTCTACCCCTTGATTGTTCCCAGCTGTGTCTTGTTTCCCTGATTACCCTTTGTTTATTTAATCCTTCCTGTTTTCCTTGTTCCTTGTCGGGACCTTGTCAAGCTGTCTAGTCTTGTCTGCTATCAGTTATTCATTGGTACTAGTTGCTACCACTAGTGAGCATTAGCCTTCCTCTCGTCTGTGCTGCCTGGATTTTTGGATTTTGGACTTTGTGTTCCTGGACTAACAAATAATTTTTCTTCAGTCCAATCTGGTTCCTCAGTGTCTTCCTCGTCACCTCTTCACTGCAAATCATGACAAGACTGACTGAGATGGAAAATATCAGAAAATGACTGAATATGGGATTTCCAGTGGAATATTGCTAACTGGGATTGAGGCAAAATTTCTAATTTAGCCAAAATCTGAGTGCAGAAACCCAGTGTCATTTCTTCTTCACAAATTGTGAAGAATTGTGTTTGCATGTGTATTTGTTGTGATGTGAACAGCAGCTGAGGGCTGAGGCGAGTCCTGTGGCCCTTCAGCAGGCAACTTGTGATATTTTCTCTCTGACTCCCCAGAACTCCTGCCCTGCAGCTGCAGAGCCTGGCTTGTAACACCACTGTTGCTCCAGTTAGTCATGAAGTGAAGAGCATGATGGCATCTGATAGGCTATCAAAGTGTGTTGACGGCCACAGCACTCTGCCTGCTGATGAGTCAGTGCCTTATCAAACCACAGAGAGGAAAAGCCGAGCTGTGGGCTCCAGTAATGCTGCCTGGAAGGCAGAGGCCATTGATTGAGAGAGCAGAGTGCCTTGGAATATTATGAAAGGCCCTTTAGTGCCCTCTGGGGAGCTGCCCTGCTCTCATATTGTGTGTTTGTGTGTGAGCACAGCTTCTGCCAGCACTCACAACAAATACAAATATTTTATTAGAGCGTTTGTCCATCTGCTCTGAACACTGATGACTGAGGGCTTCAGATCCAGTTTAGACGGACCAATAAAAGGCCGAGGTTCTTGTTATTGACATCATCATGTGTCGTTTTGCATATTTATTGCATTATCATATTAGCATTTGCTACTTTCAGCATCAATGTAATACCAGGAATACATTGGATTCTCATATGGATAAGTTCTCAGTAATGCTGCTCTAATTTACAATTAATCAGTTTTTATTTGTATAGCACATTTCAGCAACAAGGCAGTTCAAAGTGCATACAGTCAACAATTGTGTAACTGATTGCATTATTGTGTCATCATCAAAACAATCAATACACATCAAATAAGCTGATCAATGTTCCAAATCTATATAGGTGAGGTTTTTTGGAACTCAGTGTTTCAGGACGTTTGTTCCAGATTTGTGGTGCATAGAAGCTGAATTCTGCTGCTGGTATAACAATGTGTTTCTGTCATCAAAAAAGCAAATATTTCAACAGAAGTGGTCCATTATGACTGCAGGTTTAACTGAGGTAGTTTCCAAAGTACGAAAAGCTGGACGGTCCACCTGGACGACTCTAAGATGCTTCAAGTACCAGATCCTGGGCAGTGTTTGCTCCTCAGCATCTGTGTAAAAGCTCTCCTGTGTGGGCAGAGCTGACCCCTATGACTTTGAAGGTCAGGCCTAGTCATCTGCTAGTTTTTTAAGATCACACCTTCTTCAAGTGAAGACAGTCAAGTCTTCACTTGATTGTAAAGACCAGACTGGTCTTCACAGACAAGCTCTCCTCTACCCATTTGTGACATAGCTGTTATTTCTCTGTGTCTGACATTGACCAGTAAAACTGTCCAAGGTGTGTCCCCCCCAACCGCTCCTTCTCACCCAATGGTCACAGTCACTGAGGAAAAGCACCAAGTCAAGTCTCAAGTCTTGCTCAGCTCTCTAATACCTAAACAGAATCCAGTTTTTCTCAGATACATCCATATAGGCTGCCACGAGACTGACAGTAATGTGGAAGGAGCTGCAGGGATTTCCAACACATACCAACATGTGACAACAATCCCCTATTCTCCTAGTGTCTGGACTGAAGAGTAGGAGAAGCCTTTTCTTCTGAAGAAAACACCTGGCTAAAATCTCCCAAAACATTTTTAAAGCTTGTTGCTACCCAAAGTTGACCTTTTGATATATAATCCCAAAAGTTAAGTTTGACACAAAAACAACACAGAACAACAGAACACCAGACACTCAGAGAGTAAACACATGACTTTACTTTAATTCAGATGAATACGATATTAATATCGTTTAAGTGAAGAACACTAAAGTTTTGGATGACGTAGCTAGACCCCAGAACTAAATCTAAAAAAAAAAAAGAAAACTGACAGAAGAAGGCAGTGGACAAGAGATGTTCCCACAACCTGAATTTAAGAAACTTTTACCTCTAGAATGGACAGATATTGTCAAGCCAAAAAGGTTTGAAATTTCTTAAGTTGGTCTCTAAGTCCAGGCCTGGCAGAACCTGTCAGTGCATTATGATGTTGGAAACACATCCTGGTTGAAGGTTTAGGTCTGCACATCATTAAAGGAAAATAAACCAGCACATAATCAATGCTGACACAGTATAAAGCCATAAATTTAACAGCACAGATTAAATCACATGACCAGGAGAACCACTGATTCACCAAGAAAAACGGGGCTGCTCCACAATAATGTGGTTTCACACATTTCCTACAGAAACACCAGGAGATTCACGCACTCATTAACGGGAAGAGAACATCTGAACTCTCTCCAGCTCTCTGTTCACACAATGTGAAGGACCCTAGTGAAGCCTGAACTCTGAGGCATCACTGAGATCTTACAAAAACACACGTACCACCCATATGATATTTCTATATTTCAACATTTTCTTTCGGCAGATTTGTTGTGGGGTGAACGATGCTACCCTCTGGTGGACATTTCTCATTCCTGCTCACATCTTAGTGCAACACTCATTTCTGAGGTTCAAGAATTACTGAACTTTAAATTCAGCAGGGAAAACACACAGAGGATTTTACAATGTGGTTACTTAAGACAAAAACACAACTGTAAATAGAAAAAGAATTGGATAAAAGTTCATTTCAGCTTTCAAAAGCCTATAGAAACACCTTTCGCAGCAACTGCTTACCAATCGTACAAAACATCTCTTGAGGGAGGCGACCAACCTCCTGTGTAGCCCAGACATCCGGTGGAGGAAACACATCACAGTCAGCTGCATCCAGAAACTTCTTTCAGTCTTAAACTCCATTTTGTGACCAAGTGAGGGTGAGAACACAGATCAACCGGTAAATTGGGAGTCTCTCTTCACCTCTTCTCAGAGGTCACTTTGAAAATGAAAGTCATGCTGGAGAGAAGAGGTTATTCTACTTGGCATCCTCCCACCGTCGCCTCGTACAACATCCAGTCCTTCCCTGAATATTTCCTCAGGTTGACATCATGGATAGTTTGGGATTGGCCAGACAGAACCCTCTGAGATTGGACAGCAGTAATTATATGTCGAATGTCATTGCTGGTGTTTTTTCTCTTCGGCATTGTGTTAACACCACAGGAGAACCAAAAAAAAAATTTACTTTGGTTGGAGCATCAGTACTTCAACATATTTTTACTCAAGTAAAAAAGCAGCCGTCCAAGAAATGACAGAAATAAGAAAAAGTATTTGGTGAAATACTTTTTGACTGATGGTATGAAACATTTCAAAATTGAATCATCAGACAGAAAGAGAACAGTAAAAGAAACATTTTCCCAAATCAGTATCTTTTTATTTGAAACTTTAACAAAACTTGCAGGTGAGTGTCTGGTGAATTTTTGGTTAGAACAAGCTTGCTCTTCGTTCAGTTAAGTTCCCCTCAGAGAAATCCTATGAGTAGTACGTACTTACTGAAGTACTTACTTAAGTAAGAGTAGTGATACTTAAGTAAAAGCAAAATGTATGGTATCGTGAAAATACACACATTTCCCACCCAAAACCTTATTGAAGTAAATGTAACTAAGTGCCCAACTCCAGTTAACACTCACCTGTGGGTTCAAATAAAGCAAACTACCAAAAGCCCTGCTTTAATACAATCAGTCATCAGCTGCAGCTACGGCTTCTTCTCACTGCTGATGAACGTGTAGGAGGCAAACTTTTATTTTTGTTGGATTCAGCGTTATCTGTATGATCAGTCACATCACCAGAGAACTGGCCCCTCAGCGGAGCACATAGAGGCTCTACAGACGGTTCTGTTTCTGAATGCGGTGTGCGCAGCGTGGGAGACGAGGACAAAGGCTGCTCTAATATGTTTTAACTCTGTGTTGAATTGCTCCAAACAAAAAGGTTCACAACAAAATGCAGATCTCCCTTATGGTGGCTTACAAGCAGTCTTGCTGGATGATCTACAAAGTGACATAATGCAATCAGCATTAAAAGCAAAATTACAGACAAAAAAAAAAAAGCTTTTATTTATGCATATGCTTTTATTATTGCTATTTCTGGTATTTAGGTTATTTTCTCAAAAGGATCTCAAATCTTGACGCCTAATATTTCTGGCCCCAACGGAACCAGAATACTGGTGAATAAATCTCAAGCTTTTCCTCATTAACTAAGGATAAGTAGGTCACGCCGATGTGACCATGTGACCAACCTTGCTTTAGCTTCCATGCTAAAGTTGAAGGGTTAGGCTGCTGTAGGTTAAAACAGCTATTTTCAATTTTTATTTATTTATATATAGATATATCTATATATATTTTTTACAAGGACAAAACACCGGGTGACAAGAGTTAGCCTTTACAGTTAAGGTAGAATTAACGCCAAATTGATTTGGTTTTCACCCGTAATGATGCTGACCGCCAAGAGAGACAGGGTGAATTCCTCCAGCCCTGCAGGCTTACAGCTGCTGACGAACCATCCCTCCGCTGTGTGTCTGGCCAGTTGGCCGGGTCCAGCCGCCACGGTGTACTACGAGGAGCCTGTTCCCCGGTCGGTCTACAGGGTTGTGGATTGTCCCGCCGTGTCGGCGCTACCTCAACCGCTGACACAGTCGGTGACGCCTCCATACTATCTTTGCGAACATTCGAACACGAGTAAGTTCCTAAAGTCACGAGGCGGGCTAAAAGTAGTTTGCTAATAACATGGAGGTTGTAAAGATCTGTCGTTTAGTTTGTGTCCTATTATTCAACTATTAAATGTGGTTTCTGCTTACAGAGGAGAGCCGAAAGCTCCTACTAAACAGGTAAAGCCATATTGTTCTTTCTATGCTCATAAGGAATAGACGAGAAGCTCTGTTTCTGTTCTCTGCACAGGTCAGTTCTGGACCTGGTGAACACGCATCACTACCTGGCTTTGACGGACACGGAGCTGCTACGCTGGTATCTCAGTCTGTCGGCGGAGGACAGGAGCATCATTCTGGGTATGAGCGGGAAGCCCGTCTAGTGTGCCACACCTCATCAGAGTGGCATATCACAGCCTTTTCTGTCAGTTTAGAGAATTAGCAGAACAAAAAAACTATTATAAAATGTTCTGGGTCGTCTTTGAATGTCTAATTTTGGTCCCTTGAAGGTACAGACTGTGCCGCCAGATGTCGTCTGCACATAAAATCTTATGAAGATACCTCATCATCACCTTTCATACACCTGCATGCAGAAAACAACTGTTTTTTAATATGCAAAGGCAACCTGGAAAAGCCCAACCATGAGTTGTCTCACCTAGCAAAACTGCAAATGTTAAGATGACAGTTGTCTTTGAATTTAGTTTTTGCCAATCCCTTTCACACAAATCTCATCACAATGCCAACTTCTGAAAACTGTTTGCTTCACCAACATAATGCACTCGAGTTTTGCACTAGAGTTTTGGAAGTAAAACTTCTAAAACTCTTCATACAACCAAAACTCACACACAACTATAGCATGTTCAAAGTTTTTATCAGAAATTTGACTGTCTTTGAATGAAATAAGACAGACACAGAGTCATCAATCTTCCAGGTCATGTGTGATGAACTCATAGTGGAAATCTCACAGTTGTGCTCAAAAACTTCCCTGTCCATCTGGTCCGTACATATTGCTCAACTAATTACAGTGTAATATCTGTCACACAAATCTGAGCTCGCAATGAGATAGACATGAGTATATTGATATGAACAAGCACTTGTGATCCTGTTGAACACAGTGTTCCAATATCTTCCAACATTGGGTTGGGTTTTAAAGGTCATTGACTGGATTGGGTCATAGCTGCAGAAATTGTTGTGTTCATACATAAAATCTAAAGTCATATTCTACTTTGGTGTCCCTCAACGTCCAGTTCTTGGCCCTCTCCTTTTTTCATTGCATTTTCTCTCTTTAGGGTCAATTTTGAGAAACCATGACATCTTTTTTATTATTATGCAGATGACTGTGATGATTTCTCTCCATATGAAGCCTGTCTGCCCAGCCTCTCATGTGTGTTTCAATAAATTTTGTCTGATGTTTTGTTTTCTTCTTCAGATGAGGGAGGCCTTCATTACTTCCTACAGAATCATCCTGGGTTGGAGCTTTCTCAGGGTCATGTTTATTTGAAGCGTGAGTTTGTGGATCTGTGCAGCTGATGAGAGCTTTGCCACCATCTAACATTGCTCATTCTCTACAGCTAAACTTGGAAGTTGTGTCCAGTGCACAGTTACAGCCAACCAGAACTTGTAAGTAACACGGTGAAGCAGCAAATGAAGCTCTGGGCTCTGTGGAGGAGTTCAGTTAACAACAATTTGTGTTGAAACTTTGTTTTCAGGTTTTGCAGACCTGGATCACAGGACTTCAGATGTGGTAATGTGGCGTACTCTGGTCTTCTGATTCTGTAGCCAAACCAGGTTAATGCAGGACTCCAAAGGCAATATTCAGATGATTGACCTGATTGTGCAATGCAATGGCTCCCAAACCCTGGTCCTCAGGGATCAATGCCCTGGATTTGATGTCTTTGTCCCAGCACATCTCATTTAAATGACTTGACCTCCTGTGCAGCTATCATGTGCTGCAGAAGCCTGTTAATCACCAATTCATTTATGTCAGGTGTGCACCTAAAAGATGTCGACCACAGTGTTCTAATATCTCGGTCGGAACATTGGGTGGGGATTAAAGATGACTGGTTTGGGTCATATCTGCAGGACAGAACTTTCTGTGTTAATACAAAAAAAAAAACATAAGTCCATTTTGCCACTTCTTTACTGTGGTGTTACTTAAGGTTCAGTTCTTGGCCCTCTTTTTTGTTCAGTTTTGTGAAATTGACTCTAAAGGGAGACTGGTATGACCCAAACTGGTCTGTTGCTGCATCTTTAATGATGAGGGCTAGGAATCAAGGTCAGCCAAAGGTTGGTGAAATTCCACTGAAGATGTAGAAACTACGTCTCTATAGATAAAAATATCAGCTATTAGTACTGATCACACATCAGTACTAATAGCTGATATTTTAGTACAGTGAAAAGCTGTTGCCACCTTCAGCAAGTAGCAGGTGTTAATAACTAAACAGGATTTAAGGGTGTACTCACCCCCACCATTCTGGTCTGATTTAAATAGACCAGAGTGTGTTTCCCCTGTTGGTCTGGATCTTTTGTGCAGAAAAACGTCCACAACTTTTTTTAAATTTAGGTTGTGGTTGACCTGTCAGAAGGTTCCCCCTTCAACTAATCAGTCCAGGGTTTTCCCCCTCCCTTCCACTACAGAAGCGTGTCTGCAGATGTTCAAGATGCTTCACGGTGACCCAAGGGAAAACTTACCCCAGACCAGCTTTTCTAACAGTGTGACAAGATCTCAAAATCAACTGTGTGAGGAGGCCTGTGACAACGCCGTGGTCCACCAGATGGCCTACAGCCTCCCTCTCACACACACACTGAACCAGCACAGGGTGAGTGGAGTGGAGAGCAGGTTTTGCATGCTAAGCAGCCAAAATTGGTAGTCAGTCAGTACAGGATGTTTTATGTTTTGTAGGGTTCATCAGTGTCTGAACCGTGCAGCAGAATCATCAGTGCAGCGGTGCCATTCAACATGTACTTAGAAAGATCCAGACAGAGAAGAAATCCTGAGGACTTGGCAGCATGCAGCCAAAGGGCAGCCTCCACCATACAGGCACATCACCACAGTTTCAGGTGTCACCTTTATCCCTCATAACTTCTTAAATATAAAAAACTCGGCATGGAGTGACAGCAGAAAATGAGTACAACTGGTTGAGAGAGAACAGGAAGACTAAATAAATAATAAATATTAATGTATTCTTCAGTTTATCCTTAGTACAAACAAAAACTTGCCCAACAAAACCCTTGAAACTGAGAGTTCTGCTAAAGGGGATGAGCTCAGACATGTAGTCCGATTGTATGTAGACATGCAATAGTGTTTTGTTTATTTGGGTTAAAAGAACTGTTTTGATTCTTTTACTAACACTTTTGTTTTTAAATAAACTGGAATCTTCTTTGGTAACTAATTGAAACAAAATATTTCTTAGTTAAAATTGAAATGATTCTGCTAATATATTGTGTCAATTTTATACTTCTTCCTAATGGTTTTACAAGTAGTTAAATTTAACTTACTGAAACTTGCAACCATCCTGTTCCAGGCATGACTTTCAAAATGACCTGCTGTGATCATGTTAACCATGACATGTCTGTTTTATCTCATCAGTTCCCCTTTCTCTCACTTATTTTTATTGAAAATTAACAACTTTTTAGATTCATTAAGATTGAAGCAGTTTTTTAAAATTATTAAACTGATATATTTGTTTCTGCTGGTTTTCACAGACAGTGTGACGTTTTAATAAAAATGTGACCTAGTTTTTCAAGGCCATTGAAGATGTGGTGTAATTTCTGAGTAGGAGATGAATTCTGGCTGAATGGAGCCATCACATGTTTTCATATTACAGTCCAGTGGAAAACAGCGGGTCCTCACAGCAGATAAGAGTGGATGCCATGAAACTCACACAGCGTTCAGAGGAGGGTAGCAGCCACACAGCGCAGATCCAGCAGGGTCCTCCTTCGACAGGTGCTGCAGGAGAAAACATTGTGCTTGGTGGCGAGAAAACAGGAGTCAGTCATGTGGAGATCAGACGGCGCTCTGAAGATGAAAGGGGTCAGTTCAATTTCCCCATCAAGGATGATGGGGGCAGCCTGGTGTGCTTGGCAGGCAACGATGTGACTCTGCAGAATGCTGGGGCTCCAGTCCAGCTGGGTGACACTCCAGCAGCCAACAGGCTGAAGAGCACTGCAGAGAAGTTTACCGCCACTGCTCCCTGTGCACCCAGCTGTGACGCTGTAGTGAATACTGATGTAGAGAGCTGCACAGCAAAGCGGACCCAAACTGAAGGTCCAACCACATCCGAACATAACATCATGACTGAGCTTCAAATGTCTGATCTGGACTACCTGGCTGAAGTAAGGTTGGAACCTCATGTTGGTTAGGACTGCTGTAGATAGTTTCTCACCTTCTCTTTACTTTCAGGAGTTGATCAAACTACAGATGATTCAAGAGCACCAGGAGCCAACGAAGAAGAACAAAAGGTAATGTGTAGGAGCAAGAACTGGTGGTCCCAAATGCCTGTTGTGTGGTGGAATGTGTTAGAAAGGTGATGTGACGCAGAAAACATGCTAATCCCAGTAGTTGTGGACCACCAGTTAGTCGAGGACCACCAATGGTGGTCCTCCAGCAGGCCACTGTTTTTTGTATTTAAAAAGGATAGATCATACTTTTGAATCCTTGCTCTTCACATGTAAATAATTCACTTGTGATCTATTTGAAATAGAACTTAAACGCGTTGGTCTGAATTTCTTGTTATTGTAGCTCCACAGACGCCTCGTTTTTGTTGAACAACTTGTTGCTCTTAAAACGAGTTTTAAGAACAACTCGTTTTAGATGGGGGAATTTTTCCGCCATAATCCAAGAGCACACATTTTCAGTATGAAAGCAGAATTTTATGTCTCTTGTTCTCAAAACTTTTAATACTTCTGCTTACATTTTTATTTTGAAAGCAGGACTTCATATCTGTCTTCTCAAAACATGTAACGCTTGTACTCAGAATTTCTCCTTGAGCTCAGACTTAGTCTCTGCTCGAACTCTCTTATCTCCTTTGAAACTCCTTTTAGCACAGTCGCCTGGCAACCGGTGTCAATAGAATGAGTGTTGTAGTGAGTGCGTTTTTTTCCTTCTATCAATTATAGCAAGTTGCTATAATTGATAGTACCCAGTAGTAGTAGGGAGAAACAACAACGTCAGCTTTCTGACACTAAACATCCACCAGCAGTTTGCCACTGATCACTAACAGCCTTCTGATCTTAGGCAGGAGTTTGTTTACCCAACCAACTCCCTACATCCAGTGTGTGGCACCTGTATGTAAAGATTAGCTATTTTTATAAAATTTAGCTAAAAGCTAATGTTGGCTTAAATGATATTATTAGCCTGTGGGCTATTAGTAGCATGTTGACACTACCAGTTGTATTTGTGCCATCACAAGCATGGAGTCTATGTCTTGTGCCAGTATCTCAACATGCTCTTTTCTCAATTGTTTTTGCTAATTGTGTTGCCTTGGCAATGGAAAATGCTAACACTAGCAATAGCACACACTTAACACATTTTAGTATATATGTATGTATTTTGGAAGTGAGGAAAACTAAACATAGAGACTGCTGATTATTAGGTGGAGAACAATAGGTGCCTCCTGAAAGCCAAATGTACTGCTCTTGTGAGCATTGCTATAGGAAGTCCCAGTTGATGCGTGTTCCCCTGAATGTATGTTCCAGCCCTGGCAGTGTGTCGGCTGCTCCGAGAATGGACTGCGGCTGTAAGCTGCGCGCCCAGCAGGCAGAGCTGACCCTGCTCACCCTGCAGTATGAGATGTGCAGGCAGCACGTATGGAGGCTCTACTACACATCCGCTGAGGGACACCTGTCCACAGGAATGTGAGGAACCCTCAGGCCAATTAATCTAGCTTTGTTTGCACACAAACTTTCTAGAAAAATCGATCACGTCTCTGCAGAACTGAAGACCCGCCACCAAACCTTGTGAAGATCCTGCAGAAGTTGGAAACTGACTATAACCTGATGAAGAACCAGATCCTGACGGGGGTTCCTCTGGAGGAGCTGAGTCCTCTGTATGTGGAGTCTGAGAAGATCATGGCAGGAGCATGTTACGTCCCTGAACAGGTGGGAGGTTACCCACAACTCCCAGCCAAGAGCCCAGACGTCTGGGCTTTGAGAACCTTCCACAGTAACTTTGTCTTTGCTTAGTTCCTTGGTGGCCTGCTGGGAAAGACTCCTTCTTGGTAAGTGGAATTGTTGGAGTTCCTGTTCAACAATCAGCGAGATGCTACAAACTTAATTAGGAAGTCAGTTGAATTATTTCTTCTTGATTCTGGTAAAAAGGCCCTGTGTGAGGCATAGGTTTGTACAAGGCCTCTTACATGGTGAGCTTCAGCTAATAATGTCCATAAAGGAAAAACAGCAAGTGGTTTTCTAGTGAGCTTCTCATGGAGACGGTGTAATCTGGGACTAAAGCGATATGTCAAGTAATTTGTGATTAATTGAAGAGAGAAATAATCGTCAACTAATTTAGTGATTGATTTAGTAGATTATAAAGATTGCAATAAAAGACAATTTGTTAGAACACCATTATCAGAGTAGTAATTAGGCCAAAGTTATATTAAATATAAATTTTCCATTAAAAACAAACAAAAGAAAAACTTAATCATAATCACCAGATTAGCATTAAATTGAGCAGAAAGGGCTGAGCTTTTCCCATGTTAACGTTAGGATTTGATCAAGTGTTTGCTATTTTTAAAATCAGAATAATCAGTAGAATAATTGATTAATAAAATAATTACTAGTTGCAGCTAAGACTCCACAATATATCATTGTAATATGTGTGCAATATTCATACACTGAAAGACGCAAAGATTGTTTGGAGTGCAATTCTTGTTGGCTAATATATTCAGTACTCCTCTATGCTAAGTCCCACCCAGGGGACCAAGAAGCATGTGGGAGCTGGAGACAGCGGAGGTCCTGATGGGGACAGACAGAGCTGCCAGGTGTGATTACAGCACACACCACAATGTGCTCCATGGAGTAGCAGCAGCAGCTAACCCTAAATACTGTTTGTTTCCCCTCCAAAAACTGAAACTGCTCCACAAGGAAGATGAAGAGGATAAGAGAGCGGCAGCTCTTGTGCCCAAAGAGCGATTGGTTAAGCAAATGGGTGAGCAGAACCTTTGCACAGCTGATGGAACCACAACTGTTGCTGAATGTTCTTCTGTTTTTGTGCCGCGCAGGCTTTGAGGAGGTGAGCTTTAGTGAGGCATGGTACGATGCTGAGGAGGAGCTACAGTTGCCAGGACCGGCAGTAGACACAGCCGACAGTAGGAATTAACCACAGCTACTTAGGCATCATCTGTGTTTCATCTGTTTAAATTGTGTGTTTGTGTGTGTTGACAGATGACAGATCAGTCAGTGGTGAGAGCAGCAGCTCAGTACTGTATGTGTCCAACCTGCCTGGTTATATGACACAGGTCAGTATACCCACACATGCTACTTTCTGCCCTAACATTATCAAATGTGGGAAAGTGGAAGATTTTGGTGAAATCAGTGAGTCCCAAAGATTTTCTGGGTTTCCCTATGGATTACAATAAAATCCCCGTGAAAAAGGAAAAAAAAATCAACTAGGCACACATATCTTTCAACCAGACAATGAACCTATGACCATATTTTGTTTTAAAACTCCACTGAAGTTTATTTCACTCTTCAGGTTGCAACAAACCTTTACAATAAAACACTTTAGTGTAATTTTTTCCCCCTCATTCATCCTGGTTGAGAGGGTGAAGTTATGTCAATTCTAAGGGCCCTTTACCAACAAGGGCCCTTCCACAAGTTATTCATTTTTTGTTCTTTGAAATAAAAATAAAAACCTTGGGGGCCCTGTCAATTACAAAATTAATCGTATTGTATTTTTGGAGATTTTTTTTAGCAGTAAAAATGTAAAGTTTCCCCTCCCAGACCATAACACACACATCCATATTTTCCCTTATGCCCCTGGATCTGCATGACATGGTTTGTTCATGCATGAAATGGTTCGTTCCTGCTTGGCGCTTGATGGTGATGATGACTGTGTTCAGCTGCAGACAGTAGAAGACAAGAACGACTGTGCCTGTTACTATGCCTCCAAGAAAAATAATAGTTAGGTTTTCAAAAATAAAAAATACAGAGAGGGAGAGAAAAACGCAAGCGTTTCAATTTATAACAGTTTTTTTTATTTCAAGAGAGGTGGGTAGACTGCGAGATCATCAATTCCTGGCAGCACCCTTGTCCGTATCGCTTCCCGAGCTTCCTCCCTTGCAAAGACACTGCACCCCTCAGAGGGTGCGCCCCTCACTTTGGGAATCACTGGGTTAAATGGTCATTTTGAAATCCCCAGTGAGTTGTATTTCGTTGTAATGGCCAGCAGAGGGCAGTACATAACTGATATAGTTGATTAGAAATGACATGTGTAGCAGAGCTGACAGCCTTAACGGTTCATAGCACAAAGATATGGAGGCCCCATTTAAATTTCTTCATAAATATTCTAGTCATTGTTGATATAGGTGTCTTAATCACATTGGTGGATTGACAAAGAAAAAAAAAACAAAACAAGCAACAAATAATAGCTAGAGGACAACATTTTATTTTATTCTGCATCACAAATGAAACAAACTGCTGCAATGTTCTGGAATAGCAGAACATTAGTATCCCGAAATGTCAGTACTTCCACCTAATTTTTTAAAGAACTCAAACATGTGAAACTAAGAATCCCTTTTAAAAATTGTTCAGTTTTACTGAACACCAAAATATTTATCACATGTAAAAGTACAACAAAACTAAAAGTGTGCATACTTTCATAATCATCATGACCTTTGTTCATTTTTATTTTTCCATCTGTCACAATAGTCAGTGCTGTTTCTTTCATGTTCCTGCAACTACAGCTGCTCAGCCGCTTCCCTTTAACCATGACTGACATAATAATGCATTGCAATAATATTCATGTCCACAGTGTTATTGTGTTGAAATATTGTATAGTGCAGAACTCCAGAGTCTTTTTTGTTTAGAAAGTCTGTCTTTTTCTTTTAAAACATTTGCTGACAATAGCTGCATTTTTATTGACCATATTTTGTCTAATGGAAAAACAACAAATTTGAAAATCTCAAATTTTTGGATGGAAAAACTTTTGGTGTAGGATGAGTTTTTTTGTTTTGCTTTGTGCCTTAACAGAATTTGGTTTATTTCACAAACTGCAATGGGAACACATGTTACATGAACAAACAGATGTTACTACTGACACAAATCACAAAGAGAATGACAGGGAGTGATGGGAGGCCCATGGTCTTGTATGTTTCTTCATTATTTATTGCGTGAACAGACTCATTCACATCAGATTTTAATCGCGTTCCTTATTTAATGGGAACACCGGAAATTTTTCAACATGAGCTCAGTATCGACAAAGTTTTGAGCAAATTTGCCATGGAAATGCAGAAAGGGGTTCACAAATGAACGATAATGTAGCTATTTAAGCAGTAAGAATTGTCAAAATTCCAGCATTTATTTGGATTTTTTTGTTAATGTAGGAGTAATTGGGTGTTGCTTTAAGAAGCCATAGATGAAAATTGGCATCACTGTGACATGGCTTACCACCCAACAACATTGGATCCTTTTAGCTTCTGAATCAAACCTGGCTTGAAGCATATTTTCAGTTTGTGATGATGCATACATTTTTGGGAGAAAAGTTTGCTCATCTGTTCTGCATGTAAAAACCCAGCCACTTCATAGTTTTCACAGGTATTTGACTAAAGAGCCTGAAACATGTTTCAGAGTGATGTGATGCAGTTGTTTGAGAATTTCCAGCCATCAGAAGTCAGCATCTTCCCCTCAAAGAATGGCGTGAGGTGAGCTGCTGTCCCTCATCACCTTTCACTGGATCAGTTCAACTGTCTGTTCCAGTGTTTGCTCATGGAAGTTCTGTCTCTGGCCGGTGCTCTAGAGTTGCTGTAGTGGTGGTTGATGGCCCAGAGGAGGCTAAAGCTGCAGTCAGAGAGCTCAATGGTCATCGGCTGCACAACCGTACCATACACATCAGGCACCTGAGTGGAGCCGCTGATGGGGGCCACACACTTGGCCACACCTGGGGGTCCATGGTCCCAGAGGATGCTGACACATACTGGAGGCTCACTGAGAAAAAGGTGGGGTTCTGATGGATTCGTTTATGCTTTAAAATCCACTATGCATGATACATGACGGGTATTTTTCAAAGGAATATAGCAAATCTAATAAGCAGAGTGTATTCTTAAGCCTGTTGCCATGGGGACACTACCATGTTTCATCTGGAGAAATGTTCTCACTAGGACTGGCTTTATTTCCTGACTGCAATACTTTATTACACAAAGATACAAAAGTGAATTTGGTAACAAAATGTTGTTGCTTGGCTACTGGAGTACACAGAAAAAAAAAAGTGTCATCATATATACATGTATGCATATATACATACAAGAGTAACTAGTGCTGTGTAAATAATAAAAATAATCTAGAATAAATATTATACAAACAATACATTGTTAAAATATGAGGCAACAATAAATGTAAGATTGAACTATTAAGACATCCAGTAAAGATATTGCACTTGGCATTTTCAGGCAGATTATCACATTGAACAACTGGATCTACTGAGGATCACATCACAGGATTTATTAGAGCAACTAAAGCCCACAGCAGCAAACTCATGGTTGCTCTGTGCGAAAACTCTGGGTTGCCCACACATTAGCCACGTTCAGGTTGCTTTGTTGCACAGAGCATTATTAGTTCTTATGCAGAAATATACCAGCGGGTGGCAGTAATAGATATTCAGAGTTCTGGTCTGCTTTGCCATGAAATAAGAGACAAAAGTTTAAAATGATTCAAGGGGCAGCATTATGTAAAACCAGCTTTTAATTCTACATCATGTTATTCAAAAACATTCTGCAGTGCTACTTTGATTCTTTCATGCAGGTTTGAGAAATCCTTTACATCAGAAAGCAAACGGTCAGCTCTGCACACAAACTTCATTGCATTTTATCCATGATGACATTGAGTGTTTCACTTGTTGTTAAACTGGTTGGTCTCGTGTTTAAACTGTAAACCTGACGGGGATCCAAGCTGGATCACATATGCAGGCTCTCCTTTGCTCATGTAGGTTGCTATGACAACCAGTGTAAAACTGTTCGTATCAGAAAGGGATTTCTATGTAGATGAGAAAACATTCACTTTGGCATGGAAGACGTCAGATCTAGACTAACGTGCCTAATCCATAAGGTCAGTTCTATATTGTCTAATTCTATGCTTTGTGCTCCGAGCAGCATCATGCTTCATTATTATTTTTCAGAACGCCTAATTGCTCTTTCTTGGATCGGCTTTGGCTGATCCAAGAAAGTGATCGGCCAATGTATCTGTATTGTATTGGAAGTGAAAAGTAGAACAATGCATTTTTACAATGGATAAAACAATTGGACTAGACATTCTGAAGAAATATTTTGGTTTTATCAGTATTTCTAGCTCAGCTGTAAGATTGTTCCTTAAATTGACCTTCATCATTCTGTCTGCCCAGCTGGTAAACCCAGCGGTCCTCAGCTCCAGCATCTTTCCCACCACCAAGGGGACCTGCGTACCTCAGCACTGCGGCACCATGGGTGGGCATGACGTGCTGATGGCCGAGCTCACCCAGCTCCACCCCCAGGTCGACCGTCAGACAATCCTGAATGCTCTGATGGAGCTGCAGACCACACACCAGGGGGTCCTGGCCAGCCTGCCCCTCAGCACCATCAGAGACATGACCTCTGCCCTGCTGACCAAATCGCCTACTGCCACACAGAACTAAGTGGAAAAGACTGTGCACCTCTGTTCAAGTTGTATTTATTTCCAAATTAGCAACAATTCTCAATTTTTATTTGAAGTTTGAAAAGAAAAGATCCAAGATTGTTCATGGGAAATTCTGCATCTTCATTTTCTGTTGGGTTGCTGTTCTTCACCAGTTAACAGATGGATGTTTGGATCTAATGTTTAGATGTTTGTTCTTATAAAAAGCTCACCCAATGAACAATATTCTCTCAATTTTTTTTGGTGGTTGGTTAGAGTATTTTTTAGACCAATAAACTTTGAATTATTTATTTAAAACTTAGGAAAAAACACAAAAATGCCTAAAAGTCATAGGTTTGTTATATCAAACTTAAGTATTAGTATTGTTATCGGTGATGCAGACCCCACATTTACTGGACTGATACCACAATATGCAGTATAGACCAACTCTAGGATATTGAAGCAGGTTTATGAAACTATTGTAGCATTAAGAACAATCAGCGAATTAGTTTTTTTTCTTTTTACCATTTAACACAATGTTTGCCACTTTTGATGTAGTTTAAGAATTAATTTTTGCTGGAATACAACATTCAAGTATTTAATTAGTATTTTCCTCCAGTTCTAAATTTACTGCAACAAAAAGGATGAAACAGAAGTTTCACTCAAATCAGGTGTGTCAAACTCATTTTCGTTTTGGGCCAAATCAAGATCATGAAGGCTCTTAAAGGGCCAGTTGTGCCAGAATGTGTTGATAAAACCTGTTCACAAACTGTTAATATGTCAACGAATTCTTAAAATCACATAATATTATTGAAGATCTTTTCAGTTCCTTCAGGAACTAATAATAAATGTGACTGTTTATTTACTTGCTGCATAAATCATGGACTATAATCATACATCAACTAAATTCTCAAGAAACTGGAGGGATTGATTGATACAAATTGGCAGTAAACAGATAAATATTGCATTGATATGATTGATAATATAATATTTAATCACACTTAGTGTTTAGTCTGTGGAGGGCCACATAAAAAGCTACGGCGGGCCAGATTTGGCCCCCTGGCCTTGAGTTTGACACATGTGACTTAAATGTTTTATATTCTGTCAGAACAGTTTTGGGTTGGATTTGAATAGTTTTTTTTCTTCAAGTATACCGAAGACTTTCAATTTAAAAATACTTTGTTAATCCCTAATGGATGCTGCTGTAACTAATTAATTTAGATTCTTCACAGTTATTTGATCATGATGGCTGTTGGCTGAAAAGATCTCTTCTTGTTTCATGTTTCCGATATACTATTTTTTCCGAGCTCCCGCGAATGCAGCGTGATCCCTAAGGTGGAAGAGGCGGGGATTCCAGCAGGGACGTAAACTAGACCGGGAGAGCGGATCATTAAGGTCCGGAGAGGAACACCGCGATTGTTTTGGGATATTATTTTGGAGGACATCTGCTGATCTTGGATCGGCTCTGACGTCACCCCGTCCTCGCTTTGCCGCTTATCTGAGCCTCGGCAGTATCATGTAATCGGAAGGGACGTTTGGGAGCTGCTGTCATTTGTGTAGGTTTTGTCTGGTAGGGTCAGGTCGGCAAAGTGCAGAGGCGTCCAAGCAGAAAGCAGAAATCTGAGGTGCACCAGCGGTTCGGAGGGACGGATCGCCCCGGAGCCAGAGCGCTGCCTGCCGGGAGGATGATCCGAGGAGACCCCGGCAACGCGGTCGAGATCCGCTGTGGATTGCACAGATAACCGGAGCGGAGCCAAATGGGAGGTCTGATGGGAAACTAGACACGTCGGCGCGTGTTTTTGGTGTGTGTGTGTGTGCTTGCTTGCGTGTCTAGAAATCTAGAAGCTGACTGGCGACGCCGTGACACCATGTGGAGCCCGGGAAGAGCCGCTCTGTGCTGGATGCTGCTGGAGACGTTCCTGCGCTCTGCTGGAGGTGAGACTGGAGCGAACAGCAGGCAGCCAGTCTGTCCGCTCTGTAGAACCAAAACACACTTACAACCCGAACTATTCAGAACCACGGCTAGGTTCAACTCAGAATCATTTACCTGACTCATTTACCTAACTTGTTGCTGATGTGAAGCGTGGAAACGGATGAACAATTAGACTTTGATTTTCTATTTTACTAAGCATGTCCGATTCTTCTGTCCTCCTCACTAATCAGTCATTATCAATGGGACATTGTTTGCATAACCAGCTTTCCTTCAGTCTGATGTCCTAACTTTATTCAGAAGAAAGATGAAAAATAATTTTCAAGTGGTGTGACTGATTTTGGAGCACATGTCCAGGTTATTGTGGAGAAAATACACTAACAACATCTGATGAGGCAAATGTTGACTCTACCGGAGGATGCTGAAGAAGCTGCCTTATGTTGATGTTTCCTGTCAGATGGAGGAACTGCAGGAATCGCTTTATTCTGTTGTAACATGTCAACCTCAACATGTGGTGTTGGTTGGAGTTAATTAGCTGGTTGATGTGGAGTGGGATCCGCACCGAAAATTAAAAAAAGAAATAGATTTGTGAAACATGTTATTGTTCCAAAAGATGGTGTAGAAACAAATAACTATCTAAAAATCAGAGTTTGTAAGTAAACTAGATGAAGAAAGGAACAACCTTGAAAATGAGTTTTGTCAATGAAGCCAGGTTCATTTGGCAGAAGAGATGACCGGTGCAGATCACTGGTCAGTAGTTTGTTATGGAGATGCTGCTTGAGCTGCTGCAGGACCAGAGAAATGCTCGCTGGCCTAACATTAGCATGTTTAATTTGTTTCGTGTGACTTTGAGATAATTCGGCATGAAACATACAGAGAACAACATTGTTGTTCTCCTGCTCCATGGATGTAGCTCTCTGCTCAGACGTGATTCTGGGTAAGGAAATGTGTAAAGCAGCAAGTGACAGAGGGACCTGCAGCAGCCATTACAGTCTGTCTCTGACTGACTACAATGCAACTGGAGAAGAACGGCTTGGAGGAAACCTGCATAGTATAAGTTTGATCACTGATTAAAAAAAAAAAAAAAAGTTATTTGTCAGGTATTGTCAATCAATCAATTTTATTTATAAAACACTGTTCATACTAAAAGAAAAGTGCTGCTTGAGCTTATGAACAACTAAGCACCTGACAGGGATAATCCTAGTTTAAACTGCTAGAAAACCCTTATGATTCACATCTCCCCTACAAAATAAAACAAAGACTTAACAAACATCCTCCTAGTGGGTCCGTATTTTTGCAATAACTGATTAAAAACTCCATAACAGCGAACACATATGCCTCTGTTCTGAATGTACCCGGTAGGAATACAGCTGCTGACCTTCTCTCCTCAGGTCTCAACATCTGTATGAGCGGCAGCGCCACGTCCTGCGAAGAATGCCTCCTGATCCACCCCAGCTGCGCCTGGTGCGCACAAGAGGTAAGTGTCTGTCGTCCTATCGACACCTGCTAGGTAATACGCAGCACTAAGGCACCGGTATTATGCATGTTTTCTGCTTTAATAAGCATCTTTTGTTTAGTCTTTTGTTTTGATTAGTCAACATATTGGCAAAAATATGTTGACTAATCAGCAAATATCTGAAGCTGTTATCACCAGACACTGTTCTGCTGTTTATCTGAAACATTTTGTAACTAGTTGGGACATTCTTGCTGGACACAGTGAACACAAAGTCGAGATTAAACATAAAGTGTAGCTTGTACGTAAAATGAAAGCTTTATCTAGAAAACATTGTGCCGCAGATATGTGCTGTGTTTTATTTAGCTGTGCAAAGGCTAGCAGTGGTTCTCTAAAACCAAAACCCTGAAGCACACAGTGTGCTTTAGTGATGGGTTTAATCAAAGAGAATGGAAGTGCCAGCCACTTCAGTGTCAGTATAATCCAAAATGGCCTCCTAGGCAAATCAATAAACAGTCAGAAATAAAAAGGACCAAACCACTGTTTTTTTTTTTTTTTTGATGAACCTGTAGTAACAGGAGGCCACAACTATAGTCGTCAAATATTTAATAAAAATGTAATAAAAAACAAAAAAATCCCCTTTTTACTCCCGTCTGACTTTTAAAAATTGAAAACAAGTTTTGTTTGGATATGCAGAATAAAGGTTTTATGAAGCTGTGTTTGGAAGGAGTTTCTGTTCAGCCTTGAATTGTGTAGTTGTGGTTAAATTGGTGCACATATTTTGGATTTTGAACTTGAGATTGATAGATGCGATCTAAAGACTGTAAAAACAATAGCAGAGACAAAGCCCTTCAGTTTGGATAGCAGAGGATCAGAAGTGGACCTCTGTGTTGTGAGCCAACCATGAGGCTGGATTACGTTTTCCATGGCAACCGTTTCTCTGGTTTTTGGAACTCTTCTGCAAAAATGCTGCCATACAAACAAATCAGTTTTTTTTACATAAACAAGTGTTGTCAGCCACACTGAAGACAAGCCAATATTATTCCACATGGTCAACAAGCATTGCACTTTTTCTTCCTTCAAAATAAGAGTCTCGAACATGGATACAGTAGAATGTGGAGCTTAATTCTCTTTCCTGGAAAGAGAATTAATATTTTGACTATCACCTCTCTGAGTCCTGATTTGTCATTTAGAAAAGCTGATGGTTGAGCTGCTGTGACCACCACCTTGAACTTTGCTGCGTCTGGTCTTTGCAGGACTTCGGGAAGCGCCGCTCACTGACGTCGCGATGCGACCTCAAGCAAAACTTGCAGAAGCGGGGCTGCGAGCCGCGCTTCACAGAGTACCCCAGGAGTACAATCTCCATCCTGCAGAACTCACCGCTGAGCACTAAAGGATCGGGGCCAGCCCAGTACGACGTGGTGCAGATCATGCCCCAGAGGATCTCCCTCAGCCTGCGGCCAGGTAAGAACCGGCTGAATGGCAGGAAGCTGCAAGGCATCCGTCCGTCTGTGGGTAAACACCAGTTGGTTCTGCCCCGGCAGGAGACCAGACGGCGTTCAGCCTGCAGGTGCGGCAGGTGGAGGATTACCCGGTGGACCTCTACTACCTGATGGATCTCTCGCTGTCCATGAAAGACGACCTGGACACCATCCGTAACCTGGGCACCAAGCTGGCGGAGGAAATGGGGAAGCTGACCAGCAACTTTCGTCTGGGCTTTGGCTCCTTCGTGGATAAAAACATGTCGCCCTTCTCCTACACGGCCCCCAAGTACCAGGAGAACCCCTGCAACGGGTAGGAAGCACGACCAGACCAAACGCAACACTCAGGATTAGGGCTGGACAATAAATTAATAACTGCATTTATATCATAAATGATACATCTGATTCAATTTCCAATAATTTCACTCAATGTCGATCCAGAACCGCACAGCATTCTGGGGGATGTAGGCAGAGAGAAGACTTTAGCCATTCAACTTCTCACAGTGAGCAACAACAAACTCACTCACTCTTTGGTTGAGTAACTTGCGCAGCAGCTTTCATATTTTCCCATTTTGTCTCATAGCTGCTTAACAATAAAGGTCAAAGGTCAGTTTGGCAGAATTTCAGACGTTTAAAACAATAGTTATTTATTGATATCTGTTAATAATCAATATATCATCAAAATTGACTAATTATAAATATTGTGATTTTACAGCCATACTCATACTTTACTTGTTTTGGCCTGAAACTCAGCAGTTTGATTTTATTTTGGCCATCCTGCAGCAGACTGAAGCGTCAGTCACACCTCATGTTGCTGTTTGACATGATTCATGTTTATTAATGTGCTGCAGCTACTAGAATGAGGCAGAATGAAGGCGAACCTTCTACATGAGCTGGTGATGCAAACTCAATAAAGAAAGGAGAATAGATAGGGGAGGGGGGGCACAGTGTTTACCCCGGAGGTAAGACCACCATTACGCATCACTTGCCATCTAGGTTATATCCCCGCTCAGTTGAGTGTGTGTGTTTTTGTGTGTGAATGACATTGTGCTGACCCCAGCTGCCTCCTGTCATTGCTGTGTGAGTGATACTTTTTTTTTTTTTTTTTTTTTTGCATTTTCATCAGTTCAATCCTCAGTGCTTCGCTAATATGTAACATAACTGGTTCAGGTACGGTCAGGAAAAAAAATCATAAGCATTGTAACTTTATACTTTACATTTAAAATATAATGCAGCAGCAAATAACACATTTTTTCAAGTTAGCGTTGTCATATTTAGCTAAGAGTAATAGTAGGAAAGTGGCTTCAGTTACTGCATCAGAAATATGACAGTAAGTTATTTTTTCCTTTCTATAACCAGATTTGTTTTTAAAAATCTGCATTGATACAGAAATTGATATCGGATCGGTGCAACTCTTACCTTTTGGTACCTTTTATTAACTGATTTGGATCATCATCAGGTATTTTATTATTTAGTTCTGAAACCAAAACATTTGGGACTTACTTACTTGAGTTTACTGTTTAATTCCAGAGCCTGACATTCTGTCTGTGTCTCCCTATACAGATACAAGCTCTTCCCAAATTGCGTGCCCACCTTTGGTTTTCGCCACATCCTCTCTCTGACGGACAAAGTGGACCGTTTCAACGAGGAGGTGCAGAAGCAGATGGTGTCCCGGAACCGAGACGCTCCAGAGGGCGGCTTCGACGCCATCCTGCAGGCCGCCGTGTGCAAGGTGACGTTGCGCCTCGTACCTTAATCTTACTTGGAATGCTTCCAGTGACGTTGCAAAGTTGTGTTGGACTGTGCTCATCTGCGCGTTCAGGCAAAGCGCCACGGTTACAGACAGGAAGCTGAGTCTGGTACAGCTCCTGGGTCAGGAGGACGAGGCGCTCGCAGGCCCACTCACATCCCACTTTCCACCCCCACTGTAATTGTTTTCTAAGGAAAGAGAATGACTTGCCTTGTAATTACCTGGAGCTGCTGTCTTTCAGATAGTTGCTGCTTGAAGGTCGTACTCGATCTGAGGGTCCGATTTAGTCTCTAGGTGCAGATTGTTTTACAGGAATACAGAAAAATTTCTCCAAATGGGGCAGGGGAATTTAAGACTTCAGATGTAATCACTGTCCCTTCCCTGCAAAAACAGAAATAAAACAGAAATGTTTTGCAGTTCTCAGCATATTTATAAGTTAAGTTTTTTTTTTATGTTTGTCAGCATTTCTTTATGTTGCTCTGGGCTGTTGGAAGACATAAGTCAGGGTCCTGTTTTTTTCCAGGCATTTAGAATTTAGTGCCAAATTCAATAGCTGTGAAATCAGAATATATTTGAAGTAGTTGTTGGACTTGCTTTAAATTTTTTAGTCAAGTTAATTACTGGGTCTGTAATCAACAGCGTTTGATCAAAATCGTAACAACAGAAGCTACATTCTCAATTCAAAACCCCTTTTTGATAAATAATTTGACAAATAGACATAAGAGCTCAACAACTAATATATTTATTGTTTTTAAACCGTCATTTAACTTATTTAACCATCGGATCGGTTACTCCAGTGTTTTTGGTCTTTAGAAATGTGGAATGTAAGCGCTGACATTGGGACATTTGTGCTGCTGCTACATGTTTAGTATTGAGATATTTCAAAAGCACCGCTGATATGCTAACTGCTTTTAGCACAACTTGAACAGAATAGTTTTTCCAGCGTCTCCTCAGATTGTTTTTTTTGGAATCAGAAATGAACCCCAATGAGCCGACACAATCTGCTTTGTCATCCATCGTTGTTTGCAGATGTCAGTTGTGCGTCAGACTCACAGGCATACCAGAAATGAGAATATATAAGTTCCAGGCAGAACCTTTGCGTGTAGAAAAAAAGCTATTACTCTAAAAGTTTAATTTTAAGCAGTTCTACCATAAAAAACTGATCATGTAGAAGCTTGAAATACATTCAGTGGTTGATGTTGCTGGCATTTTAAAACAAAGTAGAAAAAAATAAAGATTTTCACAGTTTTTTTATCTAACTTCTGAAGACTCTTTTCACTCTGTAACAACTTCTACAAATAAGATTGTGTATTAGCAGCTGACCTGCTATGGTATAAAACGGTGTGTTCAGTGATTAGAAAAAGATTGTTTTCTTTTTAGAGTTTCCATGTAGCTGGTCACCACACATCCACTCACTAGCATATGTTCTACATTCAACCCTCATCTGCTTTGATTCCTCAGTGAGGCTTCGACTCCCTCAGGTTTGCTTATTTATTTGCCAAACATTAGATTATATTTAAATGCTTCTGCAGCGTTGTCAAGAAATACAAACAGGTGTGTTGGGTTGGATCACAAGATTAAAAGTGTTTAACATTTTAAGGTTGAACAATATTTTGATTCATAAAGTGTTGCTGTCATGTCCTGAGTATGAACAGAAATAATTATATGTGGGAATAGTAGATCAGCTGCTTTGCTTTGACACAAACAGTGTTTGATGCACAGAGCAGAGTTTCTTCCCACAACAGTGTGTGTGTTGTTAGTGTTCAGAGGGTTCTGATCCGGCCGCCCACCACTCTGAGAACTTTACATAGAGAACAAAAGAGCTGCAAAAGGCTTCTCTCTGCTCATTGGGTGAAACGCTGTTTCTTTTGCACCATGATGCATTAGTCAGCAGTCTGTGAGCCCTGCCTGTTGTTTCCTGGTGATAATAGCCTGAACTGAGTCTTTTGTGGAAAAGTGTGTGTGTGTGTGTGTGTGTGTGTGTGTGTGTGTGTGTGTGTGTGTGTGTGTGTGTGTGTGTGTGTGTGTGTGTGTGTGTGTGTGTGTGTGTGTGTGTGTGTGTGTGTGTGCTAGTGGTTCTCAGGCTTTCTAGAAAGAGGGAAGGTGTAACTATCAGTGACCTTTGCGTAAACAAAACTAAACCAGAGAATAAAATCCAAATCCTGAGTTTTGGTTTTTCTTATGTTCAAGCTTTGCTAACATTTACTGATCAGCCCTTCCTGTAGCAGTTCCAGTGATTGTAACTCTGCTGTGACACCGGCAGGAGGAGATCGGCTGGAGGAAGGAGGCCTCCCACCTGCTGGTGTTTGCCACGGACGACGTGCCGCACCTGGCTCTGGACGGCCGGCTGGGGGGCCTGGTCCAGCCTCACGACGGCCGCTGTCACCTCAACGAACACAATGAGTACAGCGCCTCCACCAAGATGGTGAGACAAATCACCAAATCAAAACGAAAAGCCCCAGAACACGTCACTGACCAAGAGAAACTCGAACATCATCTGAAATTTCTGAAATCAATGACTTTATAATCCTTATGGTAGACTCCCAGTTTACCTGGGGTTAAGGGCCACAGCTACATGCAAACAGCTAAAATCTGCAAATACATGAGATCCCCTCTGAAAATACTTATTACTGTCTATTTTATTTGTTCACACACCAAATACACCTTAATATGCATTAATACACAGTGAAAACCATCTTAGTGATACCGTAGCCAATAACTGCCAGGCAAAAATAAATGATACTTTTGCTGCTTTGCAAATGACCGTCAGTATTGTGTGAGGCTGCAATGTGTCGAGGTGTTTCAGCTTCTTTTCTTTCCAATGTTTCAGATAGGCTGCACAAAAAAATCTGCAACTAGGCAGATTTTTCAGGAATAGCTTGGATTTGCAAAATTGATGACGACTGAACCAGTGGATGGGGGTCTGCTGTAATGGCATGTGACAGTGATTAAAACACAATGGTTCATGTCTATAATAATAAGATGATCGAAACTGTCTGTGGTAGGCCTGTCTCTCTAATTGATGTATTGGACTTCCTCTTTAAGACAGACTCATCTGTGTTGACATGTTTCTACCTCACTGACCAACCACACATTGGACCGGTTACCAATATTAAGGTGTTTGTGTATAAAAACCACAAAACTTCCCATCTTACACCTAAACTTTGAAGTCATTTTAATTAGAGGCCAGAGAAGGTTTGTGCCATGCCTGGATCTGAGTCTTCACCTTGTTGGTCCAAACTCTTGCAACAGAACAACATGAGTAATCCTAGTTACTGAATAAAAGGCAATTAATCTCATTCTTTTGCTTTTGAAGACATTTTCCCTCTCACCCAAGTTCTGAATTGGGTGAGACAAGCTTGTTGTAGTCATAGCGACCACGCTAACAAGCCCATTGAAGTCTCTAACGGGTTGGTTAAGCCCCGCCCTCTATTCAGATCAACGTTTGGCTCCTTGTTGCTTGACGATCCAAACATGTTCCTGATGACGCCATGTGAGTGGTTCTGGTCCCGCCCTGCTGAACCACTGCCGGTGGAGACAAGCCAGGACAGAATGGTAGATGTCGGAAAGATGAAATCTACCTCTTCTGTTTAATATTGGTTGGTCTGAGAGGTCAATTTTCACCAATGAGTCACTTTCACATGGAACTAACCAAATGTTCTGTAAGCTTTCAGCACTTCTTCAGAGAAGAAACCTCCATTGTTTCATTTAAAAAAGTCCAGGTGTCCCAACATGAGACATTAACCAAACAACAACGCAACTTCCTAGGATTACAGCAGAAAGTCTCCAGTTGTCTGGAATCATCAGACCTTACCATAGAAGGTGATGAGTCTACCTCTCTGAGCCGTCTGCTGTTTGTCCTCTAATGTCCTCTCACCACCTGAAGGCGGAAACAGGACAGCTGGATTTATACGGAGTTTAAACTCCACACAGTTGGACTCTGTTTCCCAGCGAGGTGACTTTCTGACGGCAGCGTTTTGCTCCTGATCTATTAGATTTCTGCTTGTACATCAGATCAGAGACACAAAAGCTTCCAGAGATAATGAACACATCAGTGTGGGACATAGGAGGGTGCAGCGGCGACAACATCTCAACTTTTATTTTTATCCTGAGGTCAAAAGTTCACTGTGAGCTTCAGAGCGTTGTCTGATTGAACTGTAATCCATTGGCAGTACATGTGGTTCTAATACTCACAATGCCTCACTATTCTCCCTCTCTGTAGGACTATCCATCCCTCGCTCTGCTGGGAGAGAAACTGGCTGAGAGTAACATCTTCCTCATCTTCGCTGTGACCAAACGGCTCTACGTTATTTACAAGGTACGTTTCATCCCTCCGTGAGCATCCAACAGCATCTTTGTTCTCAGTGTTTTGATTCTTTTCTGATCTGTTTCTAATGATTTTATGTTTTCAGAATTTCACAGCTCTCATACCTGGAACCACAGTTGAGATCCTGGACCAGGACTCAAAGAACGTCATCCAGCTGATCATCACCGCCTACAACGTGAGTGGAGCGAGCCTGACTTCCTGTTTGTGTTTGTGTAGGTCTGCTCAGGATGCATCCATCTGATAAGAGGAGGGGGAGGACATGAAACTCACTGTTCTGTCAGTGGCGCTACAGCTCCTGACAGGAGAGGAAGAATGTTCTAGAAAAGTCAGAGACTTTTCAGACATTGAATCTCATATGGTTGGTTTCATCAGCTGTTTCACCCATCAGTATTCACCTGTCTGCTTCAAAGACACATGGACTTGATTGACATTCCATTCTGCAACACATATGATATTGACTGCAGCTGTCAGATTGATTTTTTTTTTTTAGACTTGTGAAGACATTGTTGCAGTAATCAATGCAACTAAAGATAAACACATGGATGAGTTTCTCCAGATGGTTCTGGGACATTAGTCCTCTAATCCTGGAAATGTTCTTCAGGTGGCAGAAGGCCGATTTTGTAACTGTCATTATATGACTCCAAATGTTCAGAGCCACATAAAGAGTTCATCATTACTCCCAGATTTTGGACCTGATCTCTCGTTTTTTGCTGTAATTACTGAAGTTGTGTCCTCACTTTGGTTCATCTTTTTGACTTAGTTTTAGAATACCTTCAGCACTGAATTGAACGTATTAATGTTTGTTTTTGTTCAGTAGTAAGAACTGTTTGGAATTCAGGTGCTTTTTGGTTATCATATTCCAAATGTCAGGAATCCACACCTTGCAAGCTAATAACACCGTCAGCCTGCTGGAGGGAGTCTCACTGCTGCAGGCATCCATTCCTGACACAAATGACTGCGTAAAAATACTAAAGGTCACAGAGTGTTGGACCTTTAGTCCTTTAGTCCAGAAAATCTGGACTTATTGCAGTTGATGTAGTCATCGCCAAATTTCATGATTTCATTTTCCTTATATTCTGCCATCCATTGTAAAAGGCTTAGGTTGGAGCTGTCTTCAAACCCTCAAGGAACTGAAGGAAAGTTTTAAAGAGTGAAATTCTTCACGACAGTTTTCTGAAACTGAAAACTGCTGATCAGGGAGGAAACTCATAGTCTCTGCCAGCCATGGAGATGTTCTGCTTTAGGGCTGCAGGTAACCATTATATTAGAAATTGATTATTGTATCGATTTATTCTGCCAGATTTAAAAATGCTACATTTTGCAGATTTTTTCCCCCCATTTCCATTCAGTATTAGAAACACATGAGAAAATGCAAATACACAAATAATTTAATTGAGAAAGGAAACATTTTATTGGCTAAGATGCATCAACATAATAACATTACTTTAGCGTCACTTGATCATTTGTAACTGATAATAGAGGTAAAAACACCAACATGAAAAAAATCTGGCTGGACTCGACATCTGTACAAACCAGGGATGATCTGCTGATTATTTTATTGATTATCAGATTCATAATTGGAGAACAAACAGTGCTTACTAGAAGAGTTGTTTTTTCTTTTCTTTTTTTTATGCATAATTTTTTCAAACTAGATTTTTTATCTGAAATGCATATTTATTGTCCAGTTTTAGCTTTCCTACTGCTGTGAGGGGGTGTTCTTTCACTATACTCCAGTTAACGATTGATCAATTACTAAATTAGTTGACAATTATTTCAATAATCATTCATCACAATTAACTTTTTGAGCCTTAATCTGGATCTTGGTGTCATTGTGAAGGTAGCGGATCTGTTCCTCTGACAGGTCATCAGCCGTGTTGGTGATGAAATAAAGCGCTATGGCTCACGCCTCCATCTGGGAGGATCTGTAGGAACCCACATGTCAGCAGGATACACACTCTGACGCTGCCTCAGTGTGTGTGTCCTGCTGGACTCTGCATTAAATACCGCCAGTGTTTTTCTCTGAGTGCAGCATGTTCCTCTTCTTCCTGTCTGGGCTCTAAATTGAAACCAGACTCTCTTCTGATTGAGTCTTTATGAAACGCATTTCATGAAGCGGTGCGTGTGTGCAGCTTCGCCTCATGTTTTCCTGCGTGGGTGTGTAAAACGTTCTCCTCAGCCGGGACAAGCCGCCTTTAGTTTCGATCTCTGATGTGTGACAGAAGCGGGTTCGGTGACCTTTGACACACGGAGGCATTAACATTCCAGCTGCCACGTTGTATCAAGCAGCCTGGGGTCAGCGGCTGCAGCCGCCGCTGCGGCGATGCCTCGGTGCGACGGTGCTCTGGGTCAGTGCAGGGACTTCACATCTCCTCCATGTGCGTGGGAATGCCTCCTATGTGTTCTGGGTACAGTGCAGCTGCAGCTGCATGCGGCTGTTTGCAACACTCCACTTGCAGCGTGCATCCACGCGAAATTCTCATAGCTGTGGTCAAACTGAGTGTAAAAAAAACACATTCCTCATGTTTCTTTTCCACTCTATTATTCACCCAGAGACACGCGGGCATGAACCAGCAGGATGGGATGTCAATGCTCCTCCACTTCCAGAACAGCTGCTCAAAGTCCTCTACTGCTTTAGAAATCATCTTGGACGATACGGCTGAAAAACAAATCACAGCTTGTCAATCCATATTGATGATTATTGATTTGTTTTTTTAAAAGAAATATCTGAATTACTGCCAAACTTCCGTCTTTTCTGTTTTATCCTAAATTTTCTCTCAAACTCATTTTCTCATTTTACTGCACACTGCCGTTTTTTTATTTTGAACCCCTTATGAGGCTGCGCAAGTTGCTCAATAGGTTGTTGCTAGGTGACCAAAGAATGAGTTAGCTGATGCCACCCTCCTTGCTTAGCTCACTGTGAGAGTATGAGTTGCGAAAGACTTTTCTCTGCCTACAACTCCCAAAATGCTATGTGGTTCTGGATCGGAGTTCAGTGAAGTTATTGAATTCTCTTGGATGTTTTATCTATTGATATTGATTACGTGTCTATCACAATTTATTTTATTGATCTATTGCCCAGCTTTTAATCATCTATTTAAAACTTTTTTTATTCCTGATTTCTTTTTTTTCTTTTTGTATCCGCAGAACATACGGTCCAAAGTGGAGCTGTCTGTGTCGGATCACCCCGAAGACATCAGCCTGTCCTTCACTGCCACCTGCCAGGATGGGAAGCCGCTGCCAGGCTTCAGGAAGTGTGCAGACTTGAAGATTGGAGAAACGGTGAGTCCTTCTCCAAACCTCCACTCACACTCTAAATGTTTTATTATGCAGTGAGCCACAGAGAAACCTCTGAGAGATCTTCCAGCCTGGCAGTGCTTTCTGCTTTGGGGTTATGAAAACTTTATCACTGGCTTCCTCTGGTCACCATTAAGACCTAAACCACTCAGGCTGCAGCACAGTCCAAGAGAAATCTCCAGTTTAATGACCTGTATCTGATGAATGCTGCTGCTCTGACGTTGAAGCAAACAGCATTCCTATTTTTAATTAAACAATACATGCTGATTATAGCTTATTGTCTCCCAAATTACACCTTTTGACCAGCACATGACGGCTAACTGGCTGGCAGGCTACTGATTTGAGTGCATGATAGTATGGTGTGGTTACAGCTGATTGATCTAATTTTTACTTTTACTTGAATGACACAATAAAGCCTTGCGGTGTAAAATTTCATTTGCAAATATTCTTTACATTTTCTGTGGATTTAAAGAGAGCGGCTCTGATTCAGCTGGTTGTGCTGCTACCAGACCTTTTTTATTCTACCTGTTTCACAACTTCTAAACAAGGCTGTAGGAAGGGAAGAGGAAAGTATTCAGAGAGAAAATCTTGATTTATTTTAACTTTTTGATTGGTCAGCAGATAAGGTCAAATCACAATAGGATCAGCTTTGTATGTCATTTAGGTTTTAGAGACTAGGGCTTAAGCAAATGCCATAAAACATGTTTAGTTTTGTGGTAGGGATGCACCAATGTGAATATTTGGGTTGATATTGATATGCACTATAACTATTGCTGTTATGGTGACTAATGTGTTGTGTTATGCTAGCAGATTGCTAACATTGATCACAGGTTAGTAACAGCACTATGCTAGCAGGTTACTAACCATGCTAGCAGGTCGCTAACTGCACTACAAGGCTATTTTACACTAGAAAGTTCATAACTGTGCACAGACAATAACAGATTATTGTCTGTGCTGTGCTACCAAGATGCTACCAGTGTTGTATAGTAACAACGTAAAAATACTTCACTACTTTACTTAAGTATATTTTGGAGAACTTCATACTTTCCTCGAGTATGAAAAGTTTTGATAACTTTCACTTTTACTTCACTATATTTCCAAACTTAATTGCATACTTTTACTCCGATACATTTTCAATGTTACTCGTTACAAAAAAGTGAGAGAAACGCAAGTGTTTTGACCCAACCTACTGATTGACTGCAACAAAGTCGGTAGCTGACTTGCCTGGGCTTGTTCATCACCACCAATAGGATGCACCTGTTTTGCTTCTCCCATTAAACACCAAGTTAACAAAAAAGCTCTCCCTCTTCAGATGTCAAATAAGCTGCATTTCCCTCCCAATTCTTTTTTTCTTTTACATAATGACCAGTTGTGCACCTATAGTTTGTGAAGTAGAGTAATCGTAACGGCTTTTTTTGTTCATGTTGGCCATATTTTCTGTACTGACTATTTATTTTTCTCATTTTCAGCACTGACCTTACTTAAAGGGAAAACTTAAGGCTTACAAAAACTTTGTATTTTCTGTCCGAGAGGGTATACTAAGAAGCTGGTTCAGTTGTAAAGCAGGTTAAGTTAACCTTGTGGTGTAGGTAAAGCACCGAATTTTCTTAACTAAATGATGCCTGTAGGTATATCTATTAGCAGGTTTCATTTGCCTGCACTTGGTTGTATACATTATTTTAAGTGTATTTGACAAGTTTATCAAAATATAAAAAATGTCATTCAAACTGCATTTGCCTTGCTTTACTTTTTACTTATACTTTCCATTACATTACTTGAGTACATCCATTTTTACAGTAATTTCCATACTTAAGTACAAGACATTTCAGATACTTTAAGACTTTAACTCAAGTAACATTTCAGTCAGTAACTTGGACTTTTATCAAAGTCATATTTTGGAGAAGTACCTATACTTTTACTTGACTCTGAGATTTCAGTACTTTATACAACACTGCTAACCACACTAGGGGATTATTTTGCACTAGCTTGCTATTACCTTCGCAGTGCTATCAGGTTACTAACCATGCTAGCAGGTTATTAACCGTGCTAGGAGGTTATTTTCACAAGTTCCTAAACACGGTATGCTAGCCAGTTACTAACAATGCTATGCTAGTGGGTTACCAACTGTGCTAACAAATTACTGTACGCAGGACTCAGTTTCCCAACTGTTCTTAGCTAGGCTGATCCAACCGGATAGCAATCAGCCACGCCTTCCTACTAACAATAACCTGATCAAGCAGGTCATCTGATCAAACCTGTTTGATCTGCCTGTCTTTTCCTGCTACACCAGGGGTGGAAGAGAAGGCTTTATGTTACTAAATGTCATAAAAGTAAGCACAGTGAAAAAGGCTGATTAATTGCATTAAAGTTTTTTTTTTTCTTTTTGCACATTGTTATAAAGATGCAGATCACTGATGTTTCAGTTGTTAAAACAAAACAAAAGAAAGGGAAGGACATGCCTGAATCAAGAAGATCTTCAGTGCTGTTCTCACTGCTAACAGAAACTTTGTCCCAGAAATCTTTCTGAATGTTTTGGCTACATTGTTATCTTTCCTTCAGCCTTCAAACTTATATATCTGCTACTAAGCTAGAATTTCTGAATCTGTATTTGCCTGCTGGAACATGGTCACTTTAACCACCTTTTGTGCTTCTGATTTCAGTCTGAACCTTTCTTTAAACTTTCTGCATTCTTAGTAACAAACAACCTGCCACGTCTACCTGCTGAGTGTTCTAAAGAAAGTATTTAATCTGCGTTCAGTCTTTTGTCAAAAGACAAAGTGGTGCTGTCTGTCAGTTCAGGCTCCATCATAGTATTACTAGAAACTTGCACAATCAGGATGAAAAACTGTTAAAACTCTGCCTTTTCACCCCTTGGTGTCACCAAAATGAGCTTAAACTGATCAGTTTTCACCTATTGCTCCTGCAGCCCAGTTTCAGTCCGAATGCCTGGTCCAGTTCCAAATAATTAACTTGTCAGTTCTTTCTTTCAATTTAAATCTATCTGATGTTTCCAGATGATGGAGGACATGTCCTTAAGCCGTGGTAGTTATTTGATGCAACTAATGTTCTGTTTGCTGTAACCATGGGAACTATTGGTATGAATGGCATTTCTACCTGTACTGAAACTCCCATATTTAAACCTGTTGCTCTTGATGTGAAAGCATCATACATAGGAGCTTGTAGACGGTGAGATCTATGCTCATAACTGAGATAAAGCGTGTTTCTATGACTGTGTGGAACTTCTTTGTAATTCCTTCAACCAGTTTACACCAGTTTTACGCTGGTGTAAAACTGTTTGTTTGTTTTACACCAGGGTTTTGGGGAATGCCACACAATAAATTATATCACAATTTTCATTGTAATATTATGTTCACAAACAATATCATAGACCTGCTTTCATGCTATATTTGAGAGACTGTTCAGACTGAACTGTCATGCGTTTACATTCTACAGGAAAATAATAGTCTTGGTCTGTTGGATGTTCGTTGCTGAGATGATAAAATGGAGAATAAGGAAATTATGATGATGGGAAAAGAGGATGAAACTTTGATTAAAAGTGATAACAATTTTAATCAACAATTGTTACCAATTGTTGATATGCACATGAAAATTGTAAGCATGCATAAGTATATGTTTATATATGCACAAAAGGTTTTGACTATAGTAAAATACCAACTTAACACTTTGCATGGTGATTATGCCTCACTTATAATTGATGTCCTAAATGCTGCAGTATTTATTCTTTATTAATCGTGACAGTTTGTCACTACCAGGATGTCGGCTCAGTCCGAGTCTCTGGTACAGGCGCAGACATTTTATATCCTTGCTGGCACCCAGAACCAGAGGGAATAATTGTCCAAACATGCAATGACTCAACTAAAAAAAATGATGAACAAAAGTCTACAAGAAAAACAAATCGGAGCTAAACGAACAGATCTGCCCCAGCATGCTGCTGCTATGAGCAGCTCATTCCTACAGAATTGAACCAAATATAAATGTACCAATAAAAATTTGTTTCTGTTGGCATTTTTTTGATTCGGCAGAGTGAGCCTACTCATCACCACAACCAGAACCAGAAAATGGGGAAGCAGCATTCAGTTCTAATCTAATCTGGAACAAGCTTCCAGAAAACTCTGAAACAGCCCAAACACTGAGTTTCTTTAAAACTAGACTATGAGCTGCTTTTGATTCATAACTGAGGTATTGATCAATATATTTGATGTGCATTTGTTTGGTGATTTTGATTATGGGTTTTGATAAAAAATATAATGTTTTGCTTACTTCATAATTGTGACTGAATTATGTTTTATGGTGTGAAGCACTGCGAAGTGCCTTGTGGTTTGATTGTGTTATACAAATAAACTCGACTTGAGTCTGCAGATGGGAGTTAAACATCAAATGAAATGTTTTGCTGGCTGTTGGCTCCGTCAGCTGGGCCAGTGTCAGAGGGGACTGCTGAGCATCTAGAAGGCTTTCATGGTCACTTTTTATTCCGTTCAAGGCTGGGATGAGATTTGAATCTATTGTTGATGCTGCGGAGGGCCAAGCTCTAACATGCAGCCTCACAGTGAGGAATCCTCCTCTCTGTCCCTCCACTAGAATACTTTATTTCCCTGGACTGCATTGGGATGGGAAAAGCTGGTGAATGAGCCCGGACGATTCACTCTGGATGAATGGAAAGGGGCTCTTGGTTGATGTCTTTTATCCTGCTGGAGGCCAGTGTTCTCCACTGGGCCACCGCCTGCTGCTGCATCTCAATGGCGTCCCACAGAAGCGGGCCCGACCGGGCCTGTGAGACCGCCCAGCATGAAGGAAATCAGAATGCTGGCTGGGCCGCTTCGTCCTGGCAGGAGAAGCAGTAACGGCTGCTTTTATTTTCATGCAGATGCTTTTTAGTCAAAGCAAATCTGCATCATTTGAGTTTAGTTGTGTGCTGCTTTGTTTGCCCTAATTATCTGGTTTTATAGCAGTTAATTGAATTTAGGGTAGTCATAAGAATTCCATCATTTGAGAGGATGAATCCATGGTAAACCCCCCCCTCACCCCCCACCACATACACACCCATCCCAACCCCTCGTCCTATTCTTATATCACGAGTTTCTTTAACCCAACCACTTTCTGTTACACAGAACCACCTCCAGTCTCTTTCATTAAGTGTAACTCAGAGTAACTTGGATTTCATTCTGGTTCTTTCTGTAGTTCAGATCATAAAATTGAAAACAGATATTCTCAGTACAGTCTAACTTCTGTCCCTGACTGTATTCTTGCCCCCATCAGTGTTATCACATCCTCTCAGCTCTCTCAATGAGCCACATGATTGTGTGGACCATTCTCCTCCTGACTTACATTTACTGTAAATTTAATTGTGAGCCTCGTTAGCTTGTTAAGCTTCCCGCGTTGGGGCAGAGGGGGTTTCTCTGTGGCATGTGACCAAACCTCTTCCTGTTCTGATTGAGCTCCGATTGTTTGCTCATCTCAGATGTCCCGTCCCTCAACCCCCTCCCCGGAAACTGCCCTGAAATTTGCCCGGGCGTTTAGATGCTGACAGCAGAAAAGATAACCGAGCAATCATTTACCTGTGTATTAATAAATAAGAGATCAGCATTATGCTGGAATCTGAGCGTTTTTATGGAACTTTGCTTCAAAGCTTCTGAGGAAAACTGGATTATTTTCTTAGTACAACAATTAATATTGAATTAGACCAGCTAGTTCACACACGCAGAAGCTTCCATTAACCACAAAATTGTGCAATTTGAAAAAGAAAAATGCAGAATCAGCTTCAAAGAATAATATCTTGTATAGTTTATTATTGTGGAGGACCTTTGGAGTTGTCCTTGACCTTCTGGGTCAGTTGTTTTTTCCCAATAATTCGAAGTTAAGAAACATGTAATTAAGTCATGAAAGACAAATGAGGCAAGCAGCTGAAAGTTACTGAAGACAGAAGTTATTTATGGGAAGGGATGCGCAGATATGGAAATTTGAACATTATGTATTATTGTTGTTATGATAGACTGGCGACCTGTTCAGAGTGACCCCACCTCTGGGAGTCACTCTGGACAAAGGAGTTTATGGTCTGTTCAGAACTTCTTCTGGCCTTTTCTCGATGTGATGTCTCGTATTGTGGCGTTTTACTTGTTACCAGTGGGTTCCTAGTAGCGTCTCCTGGTCTTGCGTGGTCTGCAGCCATCTTCAATTATTTATTTTTTCCCGCTTGTGAATAATCTTTCTCAAGGCAGAACGATGAACTCTAAACAGTTTGGAAAGGGACTCCATGATCAACAAACACCCCAAACTCCTGCTCTCATAGAGGTGTTTATGAGCCATGTGTTTGATCAGGTCAGGGTTTTAGTCTGTCTTTTGGCTTTTGTTTACAAAAAAAAAAGCATGACTACTTTAATTGACCTCATCTTGAAGTCCTGGTAAACTGTGGATGTGTTTTATGTTTATTTAGTGACACCTAAGATGGTAGAATTTATTTATTTTTTCTACAACACTTTCAGATTTTCCTCACCCACAAAAAACAAAATCAAACTAGAAACAGTCTTTCCTAAAAACATATTCCATCATATAGAACACAGTGAGATCTGTGGGATTTGTTTACTGTTCTCTGCCACTTTTCTTGACTTTGGAAATAAGAAACACTTATCTACACAGATTCAGATTATAAGATGAATTGTTCTGTGCTGACAGTCAGTCAGTAACCTGATGCCTGGTTGCTTTTTAAGTAAATGCATTTAATAGAAATTCTTTGAGTAGCATTATTAACTTAAACAGAATATTTCTGTGTTTCCTCTCACTCATTGCTCTGCAGGGTGTGTATAAATAGGCTCTGTGATACGGATATGAACACCCTTTAATTAGAGTTGGACTCTGCTGTTATCTCAGAACTCCGGTTCAGATCCAGAAACGTCTTTGAGCTTCACTGTCATGACTAAAACCGATATCTAGGATGGATGATGTTTGCTGAAACAAAACATTCTCAGGATTTCCTTCCTGGGTGTAATCAGATGGATGTTTGGTTGTGTGAACCAGAGCCACACCAACAGGCCAGGGTCACACAAGGTTCACCCATCCACCTGTTTTGCTTTTGGCAAAAAAAAAAGGGGGAGCTTTCTGCGCATTCTGCACTCTATTGACTGTTTGTCCTGTTGGTAGGTGTCCTTTGATGTGAGTGTGGAAGCTCGGAGCTGCCCGCCCCGCGGCACTGACCAGACCTTCACCATAAAGCCGGTGGGGTTTAAGGACCGCCTGGAGGTGGCTGTGGACTATCAGTGTGACTGCAGCTGCAGCCGGACGGCGCAGGTCAACAGCAGCCTCTGCAACTCCATTGGTACGGTCATCAAACACACATAACACCCTGGATGACATCACATCCTGCTGCATTACATAACCAGTGACACCGACTTTCACTGAACATAAAACATTTCTGTTAGAGAGGGAGTAAATGAAGCAATGTGAGTTATGCTACTTAAAGTGGCAGCGTTATCGAACATCAACATTTTTAGCTTTTATTTTTTCATCAAAAACACACCTAGTGTTGCCTTTAGTACCTTTTTGTGCATCCTTTAATCTCCCATGGCAACCATTGAGCTGTGTGAAACACCTGGGTGGACCAAGCTCCACCTCAATCTCCTCCCCAGAGGTGCATCTTTCATACTTCTGCCTCAGAGAGCAGCCGTCCCTCACGGCTCCCCACTCAGTAATGTAGTTGCCTTTCTTTCACACGTGAAACCCGTTTGAAGTTTTCTACCATTCACATTCTATTCCAACAAAATAATCTATTTTGTAAATATTTCATGCTTATTTTCGTGTTGCACAGAAATAATAAATTCTCAGTTTTTTTTGTGATTTTAGTTTTACATAATAATCTGTTGGGTGATTACAAAAAAATACCAAATATGTTCAATTAAAAATAAACCAATATTTATTTTTTACAGGAAACCCCGATTACATAAACCAAGGCTTATTGCTGTTTCCTTTTTCTATAATTGGACTGGTGGGCTGGGATATTCACAGGAAACTGCTGGAAACATCTCATCCCTCCAACAGGAAACAGAAAACTCAGAGGGCCTAAAAATGTGATGAATCACTAAAACAAACACTAAAACACTAAAATGGCACCAACACAACGCCATCAAGATAACGGAGCTAGAACAGATTGAGCATCAGGATGGTGAAGGTGACACAGCTTGTTGGAGCTCAGATCAGTCAGGCTGGATGAAATTATGATGGCGGGTAATTTGCAGAAATTTTATTAAAGGGGAAACATGTAAAGCTGCATTAAAGCTTTACATTGAAAGCAATAAAACCTAATTGCTTTTATGAAAAAGCTTTTAAGCTAGAAAATATCACACTTTTATTATTTTAACAGTTGAGCCCAAAATAAATTTGTTATGAATTTTGTTATGCAGAATCCATACCAGAGATCAGATCAGGTTAAGTTTTAGAACTTTAACGTCAACACTTTCCGACTAAATCTAACGTTTTCTTGTATGACCAAACCTGCAGTCGTGAGTGAACCCAGCAGCTTTGCTTTTGTCTTTGACAGTTTGGATTCTTCTTTTCTTTCCATGTGTTACTTTGTTTCTCCTCTAAATCTGTACCTATAATATCTTAATGTTCCAACTTGTCTCTCAGCAGGGTAGCTTCAGTTTTTGCTGATTTCTGCAGTGTCTTACAAAAGTTCTGCCACTTTTTAAAAATATTTCACACTTTGTCACAGTAACATTCTATTCTGATTGTTCGTAAAATTCAAAGTGTTTTACTTGTTCTTCATGTGACAGAGCTACTCAACACAGTAAAGTAGAACCTAAGACAGGAGAGCCATAAAAAGAAACCCGTTACTGGCTCCATAAGAGAGATCACCTTACAGCAGGTCGGCAATCTTAAACACAACTGAACGCCTTAGGCCAATATTATCTGATATTCATTTATTAGAATGACTCAGTCAAAGTTTAGACCTTCATTCGGCTAACAATCTGCGGCAGACCATGGAAATGGACCTTCTCAGATACTCTCCATGTAATCTGACACAGCTTCTTGCATTTTGGAATGAAAACTGGGTAAAAAGTTCCGTTTGTAGATGTTTGCAGCTGGTAGAGACATAAACCAGACAACATGCAGTGAGTCAATTCTTATTAGTGCTACATTTCAAATTTATTTGGGAAAAATTCTGAAAACAAGCATAACAATTGGCCACTTTCTTTCATTCTACCAAATAAAATCCCAACAAAATACAATTAATTAAGTTTGTGGTTATAATGTGATAAAATGTGATATCAAGCTGCTGCTGTAATGAGCTAACCAGTGTTTTCCACTTCATCCAACAGCAGGCAGAGCTGTAAAGAAACCTTGTCTTTTTAATAAGAAAAGGACCCAAAATTGCTTCAGTTAATGGCTGCTTTGACATGATTATGAAGAGATTCTTAGCTGAAATTCAGAGCTTTTCTTAAACTATTTTTAAACTGCTAACTCTTTACAACTTGGAGGAAAACCCAGTGACTGAGCGGTACTGATGGGTAACAAGGTCTGAGACTAATCAGGAATGTTCCAGACAGAGGCAGAAACCTTGAAGATTAGGACGTCTCTCAGATATAAGATAATGTCTACGAAATAGTCCTACTATCTGCAAAATTCAGGAAAAAAAAAAAAAACTACAAAGAAAAGGGTTTTAAGGGAAGTACTGCACTCACTGCTGATGGAGTGGACCCTGACTAAACCCTCCACCCTGCAGGCATGTATAACTGCGGTACCTGCCGGTGTGAGCCGGGCTACCTGGGTGCCCACTGCGAGTGCCAGGAGGGCGAGGCCAGCAGCATGTACCTCAGCGCCTGCCGGGAAGCCGAAGGCAAGCAGGTCTGCAGTGGCCGTGGCGAGTGCAGCTGCAACCAGTGCCTCTGCTATGAGTCCGAGTTCGGGAAGATCTACGGAAGCTTCTGCGAGTGCGACGACTTCTCCTGCGCCAGACACAAAGGCGTCCTCTGCTCAGGTAGGAACGTCTTTTTCCTTTTACCTTTCAGATCTGGGCTGAAGTCTCAGTGGGTCTTCATGCTAACATCCCAGTTTATTTCAGCTCTCCTGGTGGGAGCATTGTGAAGCAGCTCTGTTATGTTTGTTCTGATTTATTCTGTTTGTAGACTTTTGTTCACAATTTGTTTGGCTGAGTCACTGCATATTTGAACAATTTGGGGTGCAAATGGATGGATTTTTGTCAGGATGTGTAACCGTGGCAACAGTTACACATCATTAATGAACTTTGGAGCTCATTAGCGTTTCCAAAGTTCAAACAAGACCTGAACTATGACCTGAAATCCCAGAGGAGTTTTAAAAAGAGGCTTCATGGATGCAGAGAGAGGAGGAAGTTCAAACTTTTCCTCCACCAATCACATCCTGTCTCTAGCTTCTCTGCCTAGCTTTCCAACCATACAGCAGAGGTTTATGGAACTTTATGGTGGAGCAGCAGAAGCAAATGTGCTGGATTAGCAGTTCATGCTAACGACTGATGGCATTCCCAGGACATGTTGCTGTGGGATACCGTCTCTACTGCCCAGTCACTGATCTGTTAGCATGTCGCTTCGGTCATACAGCTACTGTCTTTAGATCTCTGTAGAACCTTCCAACCCACAGCATCACATTGTTATGATGTGCAACCGTGGCAACCCTTCTTGAAGATATTTTGAGGATGTGACTTGTGACATTTAATTTCCATTTGTGATAAATTAAGTATTTTTTAGTTTAACTGAATTCAGGGTTTGGATTTGTGGAGAATTGTTGGTAGACTGAGCCGATAAACGTCCAGCCCTTCCTCACTACTGTTTGTTTCTGGTAGGCGTTCTGTGTGTATGTGTGTGTGTGGGTGTGTGCTTGTGTGTGTGTGTGTGTGTGTGTGTGTGTGTGTGTGTGTGTGTGTGTGTGTGTGTGTGTGTGTGTGTGTGTGTGTGTGTGTGTGTGTGTGTGTGTGTGTGTGTGTGTGTGTGTGTGTGTGTGTGTGTGCGTGTTATTAGGCCAGCCTGCTCTTGATTCCGCAGCTTCTCGGTGTGAATCGATGCTGTAACATTCAGGACTTCTGGTTCTGCAGCTGTAAAAACTCTGATGTTCAGGGATTTGCTGTTTTTCTCAAAAGACTTTTAGTAATTGTTAAATAGTTTTCAGTTGATATTGTAAAACCCTTCAAGCTCTCTTTCCTAAATTTGTCACATTACAGCGGAACAGAGATCGGTCAACATTGAGTGGCTCATAAATATCAATTGGAAGGTAAATTTAAAACCGACTGGCGGTTTTTGAAGTTTTTGTAGTAGAAATCTAAAACACTCATCCATTGCCATAGATTTTTTTTTTATTTGATTTTGGCCTAGGCTTTGACTGGGCCATTCTAATAAAATGAGAATTGCTTAGTCTTTGTACTTTTGACGATGCTTTGATGTGGCTCATTCCATTGTAGTGTTTGTTCACTAATGTTTTCTAACAAACCACTGAGACGAGAAAGGGATTGGCTGAGAATGCCGTCAGCCAGAAAATGCATGTTCTGATCCTAACCAGAAGATCTCGTCCTCTGATTGGCTGTCGTCGCTCATGCCCACAGAGCAGCACAAGTTGTGTGAGAAGGGCTGCTTGATTCAGAGGATCTGTACGGGGACAGGCAAAGCCTTTTGTGCTCCCAGAACATCGGGTCCAAAACGGTGAGGGACCTCCTGGCTCGTCTCCCCGCCAATGGTGGCTCCTGTCAAACCACAGAGGGGCCTTTGTGGCTGCGGGGCCGGCTCTGGCTGGATCCCAACGCCCAGTGCAGGCCTGTATTTGTCAGGCTGAATTAAGGGGACAGAGACAGTAGTTGGGTTTTCATTACAAACGTGCAAAACCTCAGTGATGCTCTGCTAATGACAAAAAAACACAACTTTGCAAATGAGGTGTTGCATTAAATAAGAAACAATTAAAATCACAAGTGAATAAATTTGTTCACGCAATATGTCATTAAAAACATGAGGCACCATCATCTTCTTACCACTTCCTGTTGTTGATGTAACTTGAAAAAAAAGTGTTGCGAAAAACACCAATTTTGATCTGGCTGAAAACCAATTTGGATGTGGCACCAAAAACTTTGATCAAAAAACGTGAGATTTTACTAAATTGACACGTTTCCTTTAATTAGATATTTTCATGATTCCAAATTGCACAATTTCAGGGTCAATGGAAACACAGCTAATGATACAGACTAATTACTTGTGTTCCCACTGCAAATTTGTGCCAAAACTTTGTTTATGATCTGCTAATGTCAAAAAAACAGGATTTCTCAATTGTGGCTTTTCCATGATTTTAAGCTTGCTCACACAATAAGACACTGAAGGGATACCCCACCATCACCCCCCAACTGCTTTCTTTGTCTTTTCCACCAATTGTAAAATCTGGTTGTTAATCATGTGACTCATATGATGTGAAAAGTATTTTCACATCCATGCAGTTTTGTAAAAAACTCATTTTGAAAAACCATCTCATCCTTTTCCAAAAACTTCTTATCACAAAAACATGAGTCTTTTTTTAATTGCCATGTTTCCTTTACGCAAATTTATTTTCTAATCCTGAATTGCACAATTCAATGGTTAATAGAAACACAGTTATAGTTGCATTCGGACTGTTTCTTCCAATCACCAATTTAACATTTACAGTGTTGTATCATCTCTGTCCTCACTCTATGCTGCTCAGTGACTCCCTCTACACCCCCTGAGCCATCTTGTTCATTTTAGCGGAACTTCCCTGTCTAAACCACACCGCAACACTAATTCAGTAAAACTATTAAAGTGTGAGTAAAGCCCTTCACCTTGCAGGAATCTCTCATAAACTGGATTGGATCCACCTGGATGGGATCTGCTGCTCAGTCAGAGTCTGTGTGGGAACATTTGCTGCCTGGTGAAGGACCTGGAGCTCAGAGCTGATTTTAGCACTTTTTGCAATGTAGAACCCTGACTACATCTCCACAATATTGGAGATGAAGCAGTCAGAACATTGTGGCTGATTTTTGGTCTCTGGGTTTTTCAAGCTTTGACTTTAACTTTGGTTTAATTATGAATAACTATTAAGTCCCAAATGTAATGATTTAATGAGGGTTGGAGGTATTATGAAAAATCAATTTTTTTTCAGCTTCATGTTACAATATTATTCCCTCATCATAAACATACCTGGAGAGTTACTTTGATTCTTCTATGCATGTTTGAGGAATCCTTGAGCTTCTTAAAGAGACAGAGGCCCAATTTCAAGATGCTAAATTAGAGTGAATTTTCCTTTTTCAGTCATCATTGATATATACAGTATAGCATTTTATAACCACTGAAAGTAACATAGTTAATTGATTATGCTATGAAATGGCACTAAGTGCCTGGAACAGACACAATAAAATAATTATAATTTATCACATTTAAATTATACATATAAATAAATGACCGATTCTGATCAAAGTTACCAAGTCGAGGCACCACTAGATTATCACAGAAAAAAATCCAAATAATTTTCAGTCTGTTATTGCTTACAAAAAACATGTCTGACAAAGCTCAGGTATTAAATACAGTAAATGGATTTAATTTCATCAATTGGTGCCTGGAAAAATAAATATAAAGTGTTTTTTTTTTTTTTTGTTATGTAATAAGCCTTTTGAGCTGAAAAAGAAAAGACTTTGAACACTTTGCACAATCTCCTAAACCAAAGTCCTTCTTGTCACCAAAAAGTTTACTAAACAAGTTGGTGTCACTGCCAGAACTGTCAGCCATGACTACAGAGGGACTCTGACATCCCATAACAGCCAAAACCACTGGAGCCCACAGATCTGCACCGGGGCTCCACAACTTCTTTTGTTCTTTGGAATTATGTGGTAGCATAAAAGCTAAGCTGCTCACCTCAAGAGGATTGTAGTCTTTGTTTTCTTAAGCTCCACTGTGACATCTGAGCTTTACGACTGAGCAGACAGGAATCTGTTGGCGTTTTTATCAGTCCATGATAATGAACAAACAGGATGTTGTTGATTGGTTAGTGTGTTAGCTGGCCTAAATGATGGCCTGCATCGTTCATGGATGACTCACCTTCTGTCACGTCAGATTAGTTGACTCAACCACCTCGACTTAGTCCTAAACATCTTTCAGAGCTGTGTTCCAGGGTCCGATGTAACAAAACCCCTGAAGTGTTAGTCACTGTCTTTATTTAGTTACCAGTGAAACAAATATGGACAAATGGCAATCGCAGCTTACCCCCCAAACGCGCATGTTGAGAGATGTCCGCTTACCAGACGTGGAGGATTTGTGACCCACTTATATTTACAGTATTGCTTCATTTTGTGTTTGACCCAGTTCGGGTCAAATTTCAGCCGTCACCCAGATGGTCTCACATTTGATTCCAGAGCATTTTAGTGTACAGTGGAGCTCATGTTGACTTGATGGCATACAAGATTTGGTAGAGGGAGATTACAGAAACTATCCTTTGATTACATCTATCTGAAGACAATCAGACCTCAACATGAGGTCTTGAGGTTCACTCAGATGAAGCTTTGCTAACCTAGTTTGTGCTGTAGTATTGAGTTTAGAGAAAAGAGACTTCTGCCTGACAACTCATCTGAATAAGCAAAACCTTTTGAGTCTTTTTTCCTTTAGTTATGTCATGGGCATTTAACATTGACCATGCTAAGGCACACAGTGACCAGAATGGACCGGTTACTTTTCCTGTCTCTTTTCTGGAGTTAATTTTCTCATTTGTTCACTCTGCTTTGGGTCTATCTTTGTTTAATAAATGACAGTGTGTTGGTGCGTTGGCTTTATGGAAAGTGCTTGTTTTCATTTACAGCAGAAAGTTAATATTTCTCTTAAAATACTAAGATCTAAACTTTGATTCTTTCTGAGGAGGAAAAAAATATCCCAGATGATTCCATTGGTTTCTCTATGTATCAGTTTCTCTTATAGGAGGAAAAAAAAAATCATACTGTATGACAAATATTATGTGTAGTGACACTAT